CCAGAAATGCCTGATGATGCAAGATTATATTCTAAGACATGCTCTCAGGAGAATATTTTGTTTAGAACTCCAAAAAGTATTTTATATGACACAATGATGCAAATTTAGGACTTTCACAATTGTTTTTTAAATACTCTAATTCAATGAGAAACATGTAGAAAAGATACAATTTTGAATAACTGTTTTCCAAAAAGTTTCATCCAAACTGACACACAAAATAAGAATTTTTGTAACAAATTAACAAAAAACGTTTTTCAAGATGCTCTAATTTGTTGAGAAATAGAAAAAATTATATTTTGAATTTAAAAATACAAACAAAATTTTAACCATCTGACCACATGAGACGCAATTAGGGTTTTACCTAAAATGTAATTTTGAAAAATTGTCTCTAAATGAGAAACATTTTTGATGAGAAACATGCAGGAAAAGATACAATTTTGAAAAAAAAAAATGTACAAACATTTTCATAGATATTTCAGTATTTGACCAGAAATTATATGAAAAATTCAAAAAGTCAAGTTATTTTCACAAAAAAAGGAAATGACACGAACAGTTTCAATTTTAACCAAAAAAAAAAAAACAAAAAACTTTTTAATGTTTTATATATAAATGTTTATTTATATATAACCTTTGTTTATCTCTCCTTTTAGCTAAGGAAAGAGAAACATTGGATTTCAGACCAGTACCTGAAAACCTACTGTTTCTCAGCTCACTACGTTTTCATGTTGCTGACGGACGGCTACAAGTTTGATGTGGACTCATGGAAGAACATTCACTTTGAAAACCAGGTGAGTAATAAATGGTTTCACTGTGTTACATGATGGCACATTTCTTTTGTACAAACTTACCTGTGCTGTTTCCAAGAATAGATGTTGAGCCTTTACTATGAGTATATTAATTTGGGAGAAAGGGTAGAGGGGTCATGGGGGTGTGTTTAGGAGAATTGGCAGACATACCAATCAGCAGCGCTCCTCTGTGTCCATGAAAGACAGGCAGTGTATCACCCAGGGCCACCCTCAGGCTACAGAGCTTCTCTGTCAATGGAACTCCCGACGATCACAGGCAGCGCTCATGAGTCATGATGGAAAAACACAGCAACTGAAAATATCCAACATAATGGCTGCAATTTCCAAAATTGCATGGCAGTTAACATTTGAACACAAGGGCTCCTCATCCGCTGCCGCCGAGGGGAGAACTGATTCACTGTACACAAATGACACCATGCTTTTGGGGGTGTCTGGGAGAGCCGGGGTTCATATTACATAACAGACACAATTGGGAATTTTGAAGTGAAGCTTTTTTATTTCAGTTGCGAGACATTCCAGTCTATTCTGAACATGCAAAGATGATGTCAGAGTCAATGTCAGATCAATTTCTCCTCTACACACATCTCCTTTCCCTTTTCTCTCTTCACATATTCTCTTCTTGATTTTCTCTCTTTACTGTCCTCTCCTCCCCCTGCTCTCACCACCTCTACATCACATTTTCTCTTACTTTTTCCTCTCCTGTTGTCCCATCTTCTCTTTTTTCCTCCTCTTGCCCCCCACCCATTCTCCATCCTCTGCTCTGACCACCCCTCCCATCGCCTCTTTTCTTACTTTTCCCCTTCTTCCCCTCTCTTGCCCTTTGCTTTCCGCTCGCCTCCTCTCTCACTTTTTCCTCTCCTCTCTTGAACTCACCATACATCTCCTCTTTTCTCCTCCAGGTTAAGAACACCAACATAGGTTGGAGTTTGGGCTACATGCTGAGTATGTCCAACATGATCCCGTCTGAAGTGAAGCTCATTTTGCCGATGACCAACCCAGTCTTCGCCGGTCTCATCTTTCTGTTTTCAGCGCTGACCATCATCGCTGTCATCATAGCGTTCATCTTTCTCATACGCATGTGCTACTAGGACACAGAGGGAGAGACAGAAATGTTAAGATACACACTGAGCAGAAAACACCAAGAACTGTTGTAATCCTATCAGTAACTGGTCCCCTGTCCCCCACTTCCTACTGTTAAGGGCCTAGTTTATGTTTACCTCAGGGGAAATTACACAGAATGACAGTTTTTCTGAATTTATTTCAAACAATGCTGATGTTTGGCCACTATTTTCTAGGAGAAATCCACAACATATTTACTCTAGACTTTTCTAAATAATAATAAGACGTTTAACCCTTGTAAAGTCCTTCGGGTCTAGGTGACCCCTGGGTCACACACACGCAGACACATGCCTTTGTTTCTGTGTGTGCATGAGTATGCGTGCGTGTGCATGCATGTTCCTGTACTGCATGACATGTGCCAACTTTTCCTCACATTCATTAATACTCATATTCTGGGACAAGATAAAAATGTGTGTACAAAAATGTGAAGGACCACACAAGGGTTAAAACCCAACTCTTCCATGATTAACATTTGTAATAAATTCTAAGCAGATTCTTTGTACAAATTCTAAAGTGTGCACACTGTCAGAAAGTGTTTACAGATAATGTTACTTATATCTACAGGTTGTGCCTTTCCTCCTTTCCCCTTTGTCTACTCCATCCTTTTGCCCCCCCCCATCCTTCCATCCTTTTCTTGCCTTCCATTCCTCTTCTCTTCAATACTCTCCCTCTTCTGTCCCCTACCCTTACCTTTTCTTCCACTCTGCTTGCTCCTCTCCTTTCTTGTTCGCTCCTCTTCTCTCCTCATGAAAGCTGTTTGTGAATCCTGTGATGTTGACAATAAACACAAATTATTTATGGGAAATAAATGGTCGCATCTGATCTTTGTGTTCAGTCCATATAAATTCTTAGGACAAACAGACATGGGTGTCAGCCTTCCTTGCTACCTCATGGACTTCATATGAAAAATTGATAAATGGAATGTTAGAGACATTTTCAAAAACTGTAAAATGAAGGGTTCAATGTTCTGTCGGCTGCTTTTTTATATCTGTATTGGTTTTTTAAAGCCCACCAGATTTGTCTGTTTGCTTATTCCTGTTGTTCACTGAAATATGTCTTGAATGTCTTGATGTTAGCATATTCAGTAGCACTGGTGTTAATGTATAGCACCACGGCAAAAGCATGATGAAAGAGAAATACTGTGTCCTTTTATCATCCATGTTTGTGCAACTAACGAACTCTGTTGCTTGTAAAAAGCATTGTAGCAATGCCAGTTTTTTTTCTGTCTTTTTTTAAGGTTATTGTATATGTATCTGAAATAGAAAAACTGAACACTTGTCATTACTCACTGAATGAAATTACCACTAATAAAATTACAAGGAATGCAATACATGTCTTCTTCTTATGACAGCAAATACGTATGAAGCGCCTGAGGTAAAATAAAAAAAAACATTGACACAGTGTCAGTGTTACAAAGAAATCATTCTACTCACAGGTTTGTTACTGGTAACATGAGAAAGCCCATCCATTTTCGACCGCTTATCCGTTACTGGGTCGCAGTGGCAGCAGTCTCTACGACCGCCACCCAAATCACACTGTACCGCACTAGCCCCTCGTGAACCTTCCCGTGTGGTGGGTCCACTGGAAGACGCCCACATGAGCAAACCTGCAGGGAAAAAATATGAACATAATCAGTTAATTCTTGGTGGTTTAATCATTTGTGTAATGATTTTTTTTTTACTTACTCGTAAAGTTGTCCTTAGTGGCCTGTGCAAAACACTGCACTCTGGTGGCACCTACCAAAGAACCGATTTCTATATTTTCTGTTTAAAAAATTAATTTTTGTTGACTTATTCCTTTTTATTATTGAAAGATGTATTTAAAAAGAACGTATAAAGAAAAAAGAGACATTTGTCACTACAGCAATAACAACTGGTTCTACAGACACTCTCAGAATCACAATGTGAAAAGACATGGAGGCATGTGACCAAGCAAATAAAAAAATAGCTTCAACATTATTTCTGTTGCATCTTTTACACACCTGTACAAAAAGTTCTCATAAATACTACGTTTTCTTTTTCTTTCTGTTTTTTTTTTCATCCTTTGACAGTTCAGACTTTCCAAGAGACAGACTTGAATCTGCTTGGTTTTGGTTGAACCTTCTTTCCTGTGCATCTGTCTGATCAGTCAGGTGGGTTTAGCTGTTTTTAAGGATGTGACTCCCTTAAAAAAATATCTCATTGAGAAAGCCATCATCTTTCATCAATCTCTACTTTCAATTTTGGGACACATCCTGTCCCCACCCACCTGACACAAAGCGACCTCAATCACCAATGCTGGAAAGTGTTTTAGCAGCTTGCATCACATAAACGATTTTCAAACAGACAAACAAAATATAAAGCAACATAAAAAGGAATAAAAAAAAGAAAAAGAAAAAAAGATTAGATTATATATCAGCTTAAATCACTCCATTCAATAGAAATAAACCCTTAAATCTTCCTGCTCATGATTCCAATGGCTTTTGTTTGGCAAGACAGTGGCATGAACCAGCCTATATTGACTGAGAGCATCACATCAAGGAGTACTCTGAAAAATCGTTATAGCAGCAGGTGTCAACATGTGGGAGGGGGACATTGGTCAATGCAGCATCAGGATGGTTAAGTAAATAGACCACTACAACCTGCTTGACACTCAAATTCACTAGACCTGTTCATTCACTTTAAGAAATTCAGCCAAAATGGTCAAAGGATGTGGTTTACATACGGCTACTACTGTACGCCCCATATGTCCAAAAACAGGCAGTTAGTTAAGCCAATAATAAATATGGGATCGCAGAATGATAAGAAGATTTCTAGAGTAAGAATCAACAGAAAAGGTTGGGAAAAGTTGGTCTACTTAATGGTTTACTGGTAGTTTTTTTTTGCCTAGTTTTGTGCAACCCTGTGTGGAACCTACAGACAGATCTACAGGCCGTCTGGTTTTTCAATACATGGAACAACGCCGCTTTCTATCATCACTAGGTTTCACCACGTGACACAAAAACATTAAAAAAAAACACAGGTACTGGGTGAGGCTAATTTATAAACACACCGTTTGCCTGTTCTCATTTAGTTAAAAGGAGGATTTCAAGAAGCAATAAGATCACATGATGGGAATCAGATTAGTCTCAGAGGTGAATGTCCAAAGAGAATGTAAGATAAAGGAAGATCTCTATTTTTCACCTCTTATTTTCTATTTCTTTGGTATGAAAGCGCCACCTGTTGGTTGCGTTTGTTCAACACTAGATAAACAAGAAAATGTCAACAGCCTCTAAAACTAATGCTTTCTGCACATGGAATCCTCCAACCACATATTTTCCTGCTTTTTTCTTTTAAAAAGTCAAAACTCACTTTTTCTTTATGCAATGAGGCAAGCAAAGCTGGTAAAGCAAACAAAAACAAACAAAAAAATGTAAAGAGACCAACAGGGAAAAAAAATGCTGTGGAAAAACCAAATATTTATCCTGTGGCTGAACTAAATACAAAAAGCAGCGGATCAACATTTTCCACAGGTTGCACTGAAGACAGTTTCCTTACCGACCAACATCAGCTAGACTGCACCACATAATTTAAAATCATCTTCATACAAATACAACTCTATTTTTGTCTTTTCTCTAAAAAAAATCCTGTACAGGTAGCATTGTTCATTTCTAATTTTGATGCCTCTGAGAAACTCAGAGAATACCTCAAATTATTTTATCACACTTTGTTTCTTTTTAATAATTATTCAACACTATGGAAACATTTTTCCCTCAAAGTTTGAGAAAATTAAGGCCATAAAGATTTACGAAAAAACATTACTATTCTAAAAAACTACTCAAATAAAAAACAAAAGAAAATAATGTAGCTTAATAAAACTAAAGGAAGACAACCTTTTTTGTTTGTTTTTTAACTTGACTTCCTTTTTACCCTTTTTTTTTATCTAAAAAAGTCAGAAAAATGTTCCTGGACATTCAAATGTTCCTTTTTTCTGTACAGCTTGATCGAGTGAAAGAGTTTTTAGATTTCAGTTTGTCTTCATTTTTTTTTTCTTTGGAGGCAAAGTCCAGCCTCATTATTACAGTTGATAGAGTCACAGCTGCTGACTGGTAGCTGGTTTTCTTTTGCCTTGACTTTAGTCCTGGTTCAACCAGTTTAAAAACACTTTTATTTTTCCTATTATTCCTTATTTTGTCTTTGTATTTGGTGCCTGTGCACAGTGGAACCATTGTCCTGTCAGTGATTTCCATCAAATCTTACTCATCCTCCAAGTTTTAGATTGATCCTCTCCGTCTCCATTGCCTCAGTTCTGCCATTACACAGTGATGGCAGTGTTTTTATCTGAAAGACACAGAAAAAGAAGTCAGAAAAAAAACTTAAAAGCTGTCTTTCACTGCTTTGAAAACAGTATGCAAAGTTCTAGCCACTATGTGTAAAGATGCCTGACTCCAGGCCAACTAGGAGGCTGAAAAAGGGTGGGCATGTTTATACAGGCAAAAAAATTTCAAAATTATAACAAAATACATGGGTTTAGACTGTACTGCAGAAACAAACAGAAATTTCGCAAAAATTACTGTATTTTTTGTGGCATCTGTGAAGTGTCTGTCAATATCTGCACTTCTCTATCTATCTCACTTAACACTCATTCGCACATTTGTTTACAACATCACTGTTGTAGTTGCATTTCAAATTCTTACCTCCACGTTTATATTTTATATTTTTATTGCGTTTAAGCTTATGGAGTCTAGTTTTTTTTTATTTAGATATCTGGGTCCTACAAAAATCAAAAAATGAATGTTTAATCGAGAAAACCTCTATTCTCCCCCACAATCAAGGGGAATCCAACCCAAAAACAAGGTCATTTTGCCTACTTGCTTACCACCATTTTGTAAACAATGCCAAACGCTGTGAAGCACAAGGTTGATTTGCGTCGTTGCAGAAGGCACAAGTTCAAACGTCAGTTTCCACACTGAAATTTTCAATTGGAATTGCAAAGTTCGATTTGACAGCCCTAATTCACTGATATAGAATCAAATTGTTCTGCAGCACCCTTTGACATATTTTTTTGGCTCTACTCTACTACTCTACTCAATCTTGATATCAGGTTATGCGGAGTTCCCACATTCTTTCTTTTAAGTGTGAATGTGATTGTTTTCAGATCTTTTCCTCCCAATTGTGTTTTGTCATAAAAATCAGCCCTGTGTGATCAGCACAAAAAACTTTCACACCCTGAAGATTAATGAGAAAAACTGCCAGGAAGATTTAGAGTTGGCTTCTAGAAACGATCGAGTGGTGCCACCATTACATTGTTCTGTTTTAACACGATAAGTTATTATTATTATTATTATTAATAATAATAATAATAATAACTTTTTTATCACTGACCTGAATCAACATTGCATGTTCCATGAAAAACTTTCTCACCTGATCATGGGTTAAAGAGGACCAGGACTTTTTGTTTTGCTGTTAGCATGGAAGCTAAAAATAAAGGGTGACATGGTAATTGGTGTAATCTTAATATTCGTTAAATGTCACAGCTCTATCCCTTTAACCCAGTCTTTGAATTACAATTTACCGGTCAATGAAAAGTTGTATTCACAAGCAACTAATGCAGAGCAGCTGAAGAGTCACATGAGACTATTTGTGGTAAGACAAAAGCAAAAACCACTCCCACTAAATGACCCTCTGTATAGGTTTTGTTGTACAAAAAATAGGTACAGCATTATACTCACTTAGACTGCTGGTAGGAGTAAGTCGTAGCGTGATCTGCTGAGCTCTCCACTGATAAAGGCTGCTGCCCACCGGCCTCCTGTGAGGAGGGTACAGCTGTCTGTGTGGATGGATCTGACACCACACCCTGACAAACAAACAGTAACACATGTACTTCAGTGAAAATGATGTACTGAATGATCTCACAAAGCTAGTAAATGTAACTTCTGCTCACTCAAAAAAAAATTCAGAAATGTTGTTTTGAAAAAAGAAAAAAAAAATCTGGTTCCTGGCAGAATTCAGATGTTTTAAATGTAGGAACATACCATAGTGAAGCTAACTGAGCCACAGTCTTGTATTAACTAACTAAGTGGATGCACAATTTTTGGATAAAGAGTGCGAGTCATATTGCCAAAATTCTTATTTGGGCCAGAAAATCTAACAAATATTTAGTGATGCTATAAATCAACTAACAATAGTTTCATTTGCACACAGACTTGGTTTTTTATCTTTACGTAACCCATATTATTAAACTGCCACTTCTGGTCTAATTCCTGGATTCCTCCTTGGATTTCTTGTTATAGAAGGAACAGAGATTTTGTATTTTTGTATTTACTTCCACTGTGATGGCAGAGGCAGGCACTGCAGTGTACTGGGGAATGTAGGTTCCTTGCATAGGAGCAGCTGCTGCAGCAGGCATGTACTGCAGAGAGGAGGAGAACGAATGCAGGGTGTTAAACAGAATGGATTTTCTTTTGACATTCAAATGCTCAGGACAGAGGTCAACACAGATGTGAGATTTGAGATACATAATGTATAAATGTTATTGCAACTTCTGTTAATCCTATATATAGCTAATGACTTATTATACATTCTTTATCGTAAACACATTCACATGCATGTGGAGGAAACCGGTTTGGAGGACGACTCACGGTGCCTGTAGTGCCTAAAGACAAGTGATTCATCTGCTGGGTGAGAGGAGCCATAACACTGGAGGGGTGAAGGGAGAGGCTGGGCTCAATGGTCGCAGCTGGAGTGATGACAGCGCCCTGTGGCAAGAAGGAAGGACATATGACCAACTGGGGTATGTAGACAAAACTATAATGAACAAACTATTACCAGCCGACCATAGAGTTTTATAAGTAATTGATAAAGTAAGCAAAAAGAAAGGTATGTTATTATCCAGGTTTTCAAGGATTCATGAGTACCCTATAATGAAACTTTGACTGAAATGTCTTGTAAAATGTTTCTAGTACAACACAACTCCAGCAAAGTGTACTAAATAAACGTTATGGCTAATAGTGAATCATGTTTGTTAAAAACAAATGTCTATACACAACAGAACTTCCAGACCATTAGATTCACTGGTGCTGATGCAGCCAATCAGAAGGCATGTTAAAAATCACACAGTGAATAGAGAAGAAAGGCTTTAACTGTGCATCTTCTGAATGTGAAGCGCTTTGATGCAGAATCACACCTACATACACTGAGCCTCAATTTCCAGTGCAGCTCTGCTACAGACTCCACAGCTCAGTATAGATTTAATAGAAGACACCTGATGTGGGGTGCCTAGTGTCTGACAGCGTCCTCGGGGCGGTAAACACCATTCATTTATGATAGCTGTTTGAGTTCTCTTTGCACAGCATCAGTGGATATGTTTGAGGAATGCCACTGAAAGCAGTCTGTGTTTGTGAGCTGACACAGGACGTTAGAAGAACACAGGTAGAACTTAAGTGTTTTAGGCACCAGCTTATGGCAGTCATCGCCACAGTTCTGTTTGTGGGGTTTAAGAGAAAAGGTTACAACTAAACAACAACTCATCACAGAAAACACACACCAGAGCGGCACACAAACAACTGTGGAGTGCTCTTTCTTCTGGCAGATGTTTTTCTTATAGGGAATTCTTCAGGAAAAACACTGCAGCGTAGCTGTCATTAAAACTCTGTCAACCCTGTCCTCAACAACAAATGACTGAGCGGCACTTCTTCAGCAAACACACACACACACAGACACTCTTTGTGGTTTGAAAGCACACACACCAACATTTAAAAAAGGAGCATCTAAGCTTGGTTTTGTTCTCTGCAGTAGGGTTTTCTCTTCCTTCCTTCCTCAAGATTTCCCTCTCTTTTCAGTCCAACCTCAAGCCTCCATAGTGAAATAAGAAATATATATATAAAAAGAAAAAGCTGGTTGTCTGCTGTGTTTTTTTTCTTTCTTTTACAGAAGCTAGCATAAGTGGGAGGTCCAGGAACGCAGAAAACTGGTGGTTCTGGTGACTCAAAATGAGAGTGATGTACTAGTTTCTCTGACTAAAAAAAAACTAAACAACACGGAAATACATTGATGGGAAATGTAACAAAACTTCATGCAGTAGCCAATTCTTTTCACAAACCGCAACATCTGGCCACGCCCATGTAACAGCAAAAGCTACGAGATTGCTGTGCTACCAACTTGTGGGACTTAAAATATGATACACCCACAGAAATCAAAACCAACAATAAGCTACATAGCAATGGTCGATACAAACACAGCAAAATAACAGAGACGTCTTCCTACCGTCATTCTTGGCCTACTTGTCGACAGGCCATACATCCACCATAGAGCCCCTGGCCTCCATTTCCCTGCTTCTTTCACTACTCCTCGCTTTCCACGCAGTTCTACATCTGTTTGTCCATCACTTCACATACGGAATGGGGTAGGACCAGGTATTGTTGCTGTATAAATAAAGTTAATCTGGGAAAAAACCCTCTCACACTATGCACTTCAGGACCTTGCCCGTGTGGGTCATAATTCCCAATAACAGCAGGTGCATCACTAGCAATACTGCTGCCGTGTCCACCGGCGTCTCTATATTGTCGATCTCCCCAAACGACTTTGGCTTGTTTAGGAACTGACTGGCCAGGGAGTTTGAAAAATTTCAGCAAGCTCTCTTGTCTTTTTGGCATTTTTTCATTACGAATGTAAGTAAACAGCAATCTCAAATCAGGCCCTTCCCTGTGTTACCGGAAGTCCGCTCGCTCCCTCCCTCCCTCCGTCGTTGTCGTAAATGCATCTAAATATGCAAACGGTACTTTCGTGTAACGTCTATGAGGAATAAAGACTAGCAAGACAGATAACAAAACTAAATACTAAACAAACATTTTTATTCTTATGTTTGTGACGTCGGAGTATCGGGTTCCGGTTCCAGCACCGACAAATTAAATCCAACCTATACCGTGTACCTAATAAATAGTCAGGGTCCAGGTTAATTACTTTTGTTATTTAATCAGTACATTCGACGTTCATTGACTGATAACACCTTAACACATGAAAGCAGCAAAAGTAAAATAAGTCCTACTAAGTGTGCTTCATGTAAGTGACAGCTGACTAATAATATTTCAATTAGAAACCCTCCTTATTTCATTTATATCTGCATTACCAACAAAGATAAATGACAAATGTATACGCAATTTTGTCTGTTTAACGAAATTACAAAAGAAATTCTAAGACAGACAGACATTACATAAGCTAATAACTACGCAAGTCAAGAGAAATCTCTCTGACATCTCCCATAGCTTTGACAAGATTTGTTTTTGTACCTTTGTCAAGTGTCAAACATGCATGTGTAATGTGTTATTTTTTGGGCAAATTTCAAATGAATCGTGTAAAATGATTGAAGCTATGTAACAGGTTTCAATTTGGCATCATCTGATTTGTGTCTTTTTCCAAAAGTCAGGGTAAATTTGAAAGTAACAGGAATTTAGCCCTTGTTGTTGCCTGATGCAGAAGAAGACCTGCAGAATTCTACAAGGAGCTCTGTTGTTTTTATAAACAACCATCATATCACCACAAAATGCTCTTCTTTTGAGTGGTGCATGCAAAGGCAAAAGCCAATAGATAATTATCAGTAAGGCACATGCAGAGAACAGGAGCTATATGACTTTATTAGACTCCTGATGGAAGCTTCGTTTAGCCTTGTTACAGTGGGTAGTTACAGTAAGCCACACAATTATGTGACAAAGAATAGAAATATTTGCTTAACTTTTGGACCTGACATCATGCCCACATACTGTAGACCCCATCTATGTGCAAACTACCGTACAAATGCAGGCTGTACCTATCATTTTCTATTTTTTAGTAAAAACCAGAGATGGAAACTTCACAGAACACCAACCATAAACATTACTTATAATGATGTCTGTTTGTGTAGAGAAAAAAAAAACTTCTGCTGCTGCTGCTGTGACAAAAAGCTGTTTGTTCTCTTGCAGGTGGCATGTTGGGAAAGGCAGATGTTTGTTTTACTCCAAAGAAAAGATTTTCCACTGTGAGACAACACCCTTTTGGTGTGTCTCGCCTTTTTATGCACAAAGCTAAGGGGATTTTTCCAGTCTGTGGGGCCAGGTATTGCTGCAGTGTAAACTAAACTTCCACCTGCATGAATGAACAGGTGGAAACATTATAAATGAAGATCTCAAGTTGTGTGAAAGACACAAATTGAGCGTGCAACATTTGTGGCCACAGCTCTATTTGGAACTGCACTTTTGGCATTGCTTTGTGTCTTTTAATGTGATTAACACAGCAATTTCACTCAGGAAGAAATTAAATCCCAATTCTTAGGATGTCTCATTACCGAGCCTCACAATATGCTGCCTTCCCCCTCTTCCTCTTGATGCATACTTAGGATAACACATTCATTTCCTGTTTGAGGCTTTGTGAGTATTAATGTATACAACCATCCTTTCATTAATGGAGACCCAAAGATGGTGAGTTAACGTAATCCAAGTATTCTACCAAAACCTTACAACACACAGTACAGAGTGTACTCCTCTGTGTGTATAGGTGTGTGTGTCTGCATCTTAACTGTGCTGTGTCTCTGTAAATACATCTGCCTGAGTGCATGCATGTGCCCATGTTCCTGAGGAACAAACACAGCACTTAACACTAATTCTATTTCTATCATTAGTATCCTTTAATTAAAGTCATTTATTTCCATAGCAGTGGGTCTACAGAGAATTCTGACCCATTTGGCACCACCAGTACTTCAACACTCTCTGCCTGTGTATGATGGACTGTTGACTAAGGGGATTAGCAGAACTCGGCTCATGTATTAATGAGCAGCCACCATTAATCAGAATCATATCGCATTAACTGTGGAACAGAACAGCACCACTCTGTCTCCAACCAGGCCAAGATCATCTGTACCCAGGAAATACAATAACTAGCTCTGGCCCTTTGTTGTTGAACAGGGATTTCGTGTGTGCAGCGACAAGGCTGGGGAGCAGACACACGCTGCCCAGACATGTTTCTGCAGCACTTTCATTCTTTGTTCTCAATGTATTCTTTGTAATCCTTTCGTTCCTCTCCTTTCACTGTCTCTCTGACTCTGTCAAACTGCACAGCACCATCTTTGTTTTCTTGTTCTCCATCTGGTTTTTTTGCAGACATTTGTTCAAGTAAAAAGAAGAAAAATAAAAGGACGTATTATCCTCTTCTAAAGACAAAAATCATCACATATCCAGAAAGATAGTCAGAGAACAGGAAGACAAATTGGTAATAAAAGAGTCTGCAGTTGTTAACATTGGCAAAATGCAGTCTTAACTATTATCTTTTTGTAAGAAAAGACACATCCATTTGAATTATTACTGGACTTGGCTGCACTGCTTTGCTTCTATTATAATTTTCTGACTGAAAGTCATCAGGGATTGGAGAGAAAGTCCAGATAATACAGTGTGTGCCTGAAAGCTTCTGCCAGCCATGATGGCTGAGGTCAGTGAATATCTCAGTAGACTGCAAATGTCCTATGTCTGTCCCTTCCTTGTCCGAGTTTCTTAATTATTTATTTTTGTTAGAATAAATACTGTCGGAAAAACTGAGCATTTGAAGACATGACGATGATCAAATTAGGTAATAAACAGATACAATTAAAAATATAGAAAATATGATTCTGTAAATAATTATCAAATAAATTTGGAAAGATTTAAAATAACTAGTACAACATGAAGAATTGTGAACACCTAATATAATTAGTTACAGCAGTAGACCATGACCTGATGTAGATAAAAATTTCCATCAGAAAGAAAGAACAAAAGAAAGAAAGAAACGATGCGAATTTACTCTAGAAGTCCTTTCCTTTTCTGCAATACCATTTGAGACCACCGGGGAGCAGCCTTTTATAATACNTATATATATATATACAGTATATAAAAATTTAACAGTGATAGATGTGTTTCAAGTAAAACACGTGTAAGCAATTAGTACCTAATACGATGGATACTACCATTTTTCCCCCCATAAACTTACTGTTGGTTGCATAACATACTGTTGGTGTGGCATCCAAGACGTACTCTGGACCTGAAGAAAAATCACACAGAAGACACAAAATGTTCAAGATCTTCATTCATGCTCCTGTACCACCTATTTCTTTCTGAAGTTGCAAAAGCTGAATACATCAAACACACTCACATTCAAACCTATAGTTCATTTACAGTAAACATTTTGCATGCCAAATGTGACAAAAGTCCTCACAGAGAAGACCTTCTGCCACTATATAGTCCATCCTCTATATCATTGAAAATAAACAAACAAATTAAATAGAAAAAAAATGATGATGATAATGAAGTGATTAAAGGACAGACAGACAGGAGAAGTAGGATCAGAGAAGTGATCAGGACGATAGGAGGACAAGTCAAAGATTATAGTCGGCAGAAAAAGGTGTAATTTTATGATACATTGACAGAAAATGAGTGATATTAAAAAAAAAAAACAACTAAATTGATCACAACCTTAACTCTTTTATAAGATCATCTCAGTGTCTCTTAAAAACGTTACAGCATTAACAAAGGGTCCACAGTAGAGTATTTTATGTGGTAATTACAGGAGGATATGAAGACCACAGAGACAAATACAGGCTGATAATTACTGTTTCTCACTGTTGATTTCATCATCAAAGTTCATCAGAGCCACAATCAACACTTCCATTTCCGACTACTGCCCACTGTCCAGTCCTCAGAACAGAAGGAACTGGGCCCCAGAGACATCTCTGTCACTCTGTCGTTCACACACAGAGAGTATGTTTGTAGAGGATGTATATATAGCCTCCTAATACCTCTCTGTCTACTGGGAGTTTAAGTACAATAGTGAAGTGTTATGATTTGTTTTTATATCCCTAGTTAAACCACTGCCCTTACACTGTTGAAAGTGTGTGTTTCCATGTGTTAATCCCAATTATAGTAATGTTATGAATAACTGATCTTTATTTAAAAAAATAATTGTGCAAAAAATTATGTCGTAATTATATAATTATGAGAAAAGGGGACTCTATATGCAAGTTGAGTACCAATGGGCACAAACACAAGCCAATACATTTGTTAATCATTAATCATGATCAGTTGGAAACTAAAAGCTTATTAACAGCAGGTTACACATCTGTTTATATGAATATTAAAATCTACTTCATAGAGTTGAAGGATTTCTTGACAGTGAATGTACGAGTTGTGAGGAGCCTTCAAAACTAACATACTTATTAATGACGAGTGGAAAGCAGTGAGGAGGATGTTAATATATATCATATATATATATCATAAAATATTTCAGTCAAACAGCCTCAGGCTTCATGTCACTGATGAAAACCCACATTATTCCTATTTCTGTTAAAAACATAAATGCTTCGACTTCTGCTTTTTGTGTTGACCTGACTTTTATATTTCTGGAATAGTAGAAAAAACACTTTTACAAGTTTCAAAAGTCAGGACCTGAATCAGAAGACCTTAGACAGGATCCACCCACCTGATATGTGGAGACAGGAGAAGCAGCAATGAAGGGTGTGATGGATGTCTGCGCAATCATCCGATTGGTGGAGATGCTGTAGGGTGAAGAGTAGAATCTATAAAGGAAAAACGAAAAAGTTTTTTTTTTACTTACAAAAATAATTATTATTTGAAGTATGGAGTGTTGTTTGAGAACATAGTTCTTCTTCCCTGGCTTGTAGCTGGCACTATGTACAGTACATATATATATATATATATATATATATAT